TTTTATTTTTACCACAAAGTTCTGCCCTCAAATATAGTGGCTCCTAGATCCTCTTTGCCTAAATAACTGTTAATGGACTGTTCAGTGACTGTTTCCTACTTTTTTTCTCATTGGAAGATATGCAGAAGGGTAATTAATCACTGCTAATACAATGAGATTCTGCATTTATTTTAAAAATTAATTAATGTAGTCATCGTAAGCTGCCATTTAAGAATTTTTCAAGGATAATAAATTTTGGGAGAAGTCACTATTATATTAATCAGACTTTCTAAATATTTTTAAGTAATAAAACACACCAGTCTGAGAATCAGAGTGAGGGTAAAAACAAACAAACAAACAAACAAACAAACAAACAAACAAACACTCCTTTTTTTAAACACAGTAGGGTTTTTTTATTTTTGCTTTTGACCAATTTGAAAAGCTAATAAGGAGCTGATTTCAATTTAAGATTAACTTTTTTTTGTTCTGCTTTTATTCTCTGTAACCATCACTGCTGTGCTAACTGCACTTAGATCTTGGCATATACCAGGGTTACGTCTCAAAAATTAAACCCTTTCAACAAAATAAAAGTGTTTGGGAAATTTAAACACATTTAGGAATTACTACAAATCTCTGTATGAAATCGTAGTGGAATTTGAATTATATTTTATTTTCTATGCACTCCTTCTATGGTAAAACTGTATTTCTTAAAAGTTGCCCTTGAAAGCACCTCTTAATATTTCTGACTTCTGATCTAGTCCCTCTTCCATTAAAAATGGGGCAAAATTTTTCTCCTTTTATCCTAAGAAGCATTTGTTACTTTGTTACTTTGTCTTTAAAAGCAGTTTCCAACCAAGATCCAAAATAATTTATATTGATAAGTTTTCACTAAGGTCAGTAGGAGCAAAGGTGAATATATAGATATATTTGGGGGATATATACTCTGTTTTCATATTTTATTATCACCCTTTTTATTTCTTCGAGTTTCTAATTTTATGAACTGCTAAGAAGAACATTCACTGGGGTTTCTTATGTTTTCAATATAGAACACTCAGACCAATTTCAAAACTCCTCTAGGTCCTCAAGATGTAAAATGTCAATAGCCAGAGATAAGACCTGACATCTGGCCAACCTGGTCCACAAACAGCACAGATTAGATGCAGATCAATGTACAATAAGTGTCTCTTTGTCCTAATACACAGTCAGTGCCTTCCCTGTTCAAAAACAAAAACCTTACATTAGCATCTTGATCACACTTGTTTCCCTTTGGTCCTAATAAGAAAGTGAAAAGTGTATGATATACATAAATTTTCATCATTTTTATTCCTTCATGATAGCTCAGGTCTAAGCACATGACAAGGAATTGTGAAACAGCATCTCAGGGTTTCTTAAAGCAATATCCTTCAAAGTCTGGCCATCAGTTAATGGCTGGCAGCTCGATCAATATGAGATTGCATCAAGAACCTATTTCCTGCAAGAGGTCAGTAGAAATGTCTGCTCTGAATGGCTAACTAAAAACTTCTACTTATCTCATTACGTGCAGAAACACACTAACTATGCTTTCATATCTTCTCTTGGCTGGTGGAGTGATGATCAAAAGACTAATTGTACAGATTCAGAACTGCCAGCAGCACCCTATTTCTCCCCTACACATGCATACTTTTTTTTTTGTTTGTTTTTGCTTTCTGACATAGAAGAGACAGCATAGTGGCTTTTAAAGCTAGCATTTCATCTTCAGGTGATCACTGTCAGCTCGTACACATTTTGGTCTAGCCAGGATTTGGGTAATGTAACAGGGGTCTGATCCAGCTCTCCCTAAAAATCAATATGAGACTCACTGATCTCAGTGGAAGCTAGATCAAGCCTCAAATACACTGGAGGAGATATTTTCTGAAGCACAAAGGACAGTGAGACATAAAAGTCCCAATTCCTATTCATTACCTTGAAAACCTTTTCTAATAGTTCTTTTCCCAATGTGAAATGAAAATATAGATCAGGGAAATGTAAAAAAGCTGTTACATCCCTGAACATAGTGAATTGCTGGCTTGTTTTTTATCTTGACCTGAAGTTGCTATAAAAGTACTTTGAAAATTTCTACTGTCCCATTTAAGCTAGCTGGAACTCAGACTTTCATTTAATGGCTTCGGAAGAAAAGAAAAATCAGAGATAAAGCAAAAAAATATGTGAGAGAGGCATTTTTTGAAAGCTACCAAAGCAATACAGTTTAGTTGCACACCATCTTTTCATAACAGGCTCCCTCTAAATGTGGAATGGTTTTATTTAAGTACAGATTTATTAGATCAAGTCACTGAGAGAGTGGAAAAGAAATATTATTATCATGAAAACATTTTTCTATTCTTTTTTGATGGTTTCCAGACCTCTAATGACTGTTTGACTTTACAGTAAAGGTACAAATTCATTTTGCCGTCAATAGATTGTGACATCGTAGCTTAGTTATAAAAGGCAAGTTCTTCTTTTGCTTAACAGCTAAAGGTCTGGGTCTTTTGCTTGGATGATCATTTGTTTTCTCTATAGTAAAAGAAGACCGAATAACCTCAGTTTGTTGATTCATTTTTACTATTTCATCTTGCCTCTGAATAAATATTTGTTATAAAGGAAATATGTGTATTCATTGTGCCATCAAGAACCATGATTTTGAACTGCAGAAGTATTAATCTGCAGAAAGTGAGCTACCACAGATTTTTGTTCTTCAATTACATGCCCTGGAGCTGCAAGCCCAACCTGGAGTTTTACTGTTAAAAATATACAGGGCTCCAAAAATTCGGCCACCAGAAATTTAAAAGAGCCCTCAGTTCTTTAATACCTTGAGGTAGCATAAAGAGAAGACGCAGCATATGTTTTCTCAGGAGGTACTTTTAGTGATAACTTTAGAAAATAAGGGATAAAATAGAACAACTTTTCAAAAGCTAAAAGGGTAACATACAACCAAGATAGGGCATTCCACAAAGAACTACCTTAGCACATGCTAACCAAAACAACTTAGCAAAATCCAACCCATCAGCTTTAACTTGCCCAAAATATTAAGAAAGGTCATCAAGAGAAGAAAAAGGAGTAAAGAAAGAGAGAAAAATAAGAGAAAAATTTATCCTGCCGGAGAGTCCTGTGGAAGCCCAGCTTTCATGTGGCCAGGTGGAAGGTCTTGAGCAAAAATGGAGAACATGTTGCTGTTTTTATGTGCTTTGGCCCTCTGTGGTCACCCCTCCCAGGCAGAACTTCCCCCTCACTGGTAATTCTGGATCTCTGAGGAAGGGTGAGGGGCAGTGCTACCAGCGTGTGAGCCAAATTAAGGCTGGGTTAGGGGCTCCAGGGGGTGATATCTCCCAGGCTACCTTTGACTGACAGCTGCTCTGCTGTCACCCCATGAGAGTCACATGTGGAATACAACATTACCCATCTCTGTGGGATCTGTCTTATCCGTTTTCCACACACACATACACACTTGAGTTGGTTCTGACCCAATAATTATTCTCAGTATCCATATCTCACAGGTGCTTAGAGGAAAAAAATAAAAACAAAACAAAACAAAACTTTTCTATGGCCCCATAGTAATCTCTTACTAATTTTCTGTTTCTTGGAGAAATGTATTTCTTTTAAAAATTTAGAAATTTACTGTCAATGCGCATTTCACTCTTACAAATGTTGAATGTTCCAGTGGATTAGAGAGCCAGAAATGATCCAGCAGTAGTGTAATGCTTTTGAAGCAGTGGGGTTGGCCATTAGACACTGAGTCTAGAGATGATAATGGGATAACAATTGCAAAACTTAAAGACTATCTCCAGTAGGATTTATGTCGTTAGCCTTTAGTAGGATTCATCTCACTGAACTGTAGACATTCACCATGTACATGTCTGCATCTGAATTACTTTAAGTCTCTATAGGTAAATATTTCTCAGTGTAATTAATATTGTACTCTTGTGGGCATCTGAAACAGGTCAGATGAACTGTGTTTTACAAGTGTCTATTTCTCTTGGCTAACTGTAATAGTAATTTAGCTACTATTGCACACATAAATGTCTTATTGCAAAGACCTAGGGACCCAAAAAAAAGGATCTGATCTGTGACCCTCAGGATGTAATTTAAAAGATGGACTTATGATCAGCCAGGTGTTTTAGACTCTTCCAAGTTCCTTCTGAGGGAGGGAGGGAGGGAACAGCAGGGAGCTGTTCTAAACTCCTGACCACTGCAGAAACAATTTTGAGAGCTTTTATGCAGCAATAGGACCTCTGTTCTCTTGGAATATTTTTGGTTTAGAAAGTTTCCATTGTAAGCTTAAGTTATTTATCAAAATGGATTGCAAACACCAGAATATCATTAAGGCTTCTCTGAATTATCCAACAACTCATCTACTTTCAAAAATGTAACTCCAAAGAAAACTCCAGATAAAGTTTCTTTGTTTTTACTGTTTTCATTCAGTGTTCATAAATGATGGGCAAAAGTTTGACCCCAGGAGATAATTTACCCAAAATATTATAATATCAGTGTTTTGTTACTGATATCTATAGCAACAACATTTTGCTTAATATATCTGTATTTTAGTAGCATACTAAACATATATACCTTTGGCTAATATGGAAAGCAAGTGCCATTGTTCCTGAGTTTTTTTCTTTATTTTCATGTCTTTTATTCATATCCTTCACACTTAAGAAAATAAACGTTTAAAAATAAAGGAACTATTTATTTCCACTTTTTTTCTCTGATAATCTTTCCTGTCATTGGTGCATGAGGAACATATGTCTAAATATTGATCCCATATGAGACCTAGTCTGTTGAAATAAAATGATTTAGGAGGAATATCTACTTTGGTACTTTATAGATATAAGTAAAAAAAAAAAAAAAAAGAACAAAAAAACCCAAACAAACAAACAAACAAAAAACCAAAACCACCAAAAAAACCCACAAAAAACCCCACAGCAACAAAACCAAAAAAAAACCCAACCAAACAGAAAACCCACAAACAAACAAAAAGTTTCTTTCAGACAAAGTTTTTTTTTATTTAATAGGTGAATGTTTCTTGTTGATATAATATCTAGGTGCCCTGTACTACTAATTTTCTGCACAACTGACTATCTAAAAAGCCTGGAGTGTAGCACTAAATATATAGATGACAATAGAAGGTACAGCTAAACAGACAGCTGACGAATATCTGAACTTAAACAGCATGCCCAAGACCTAGAACAGAAACACAAATCTCCAAAGTTCTAGTGTGCGTTTTAACTTCCTTCCTTTAAAACAAAACGAAACAAAATATAACAAAACAAAAAACAACTACCAAACAAAAATTCCAACCAAAAGAAAACCAAAAAAACCAAAAGGACACACATTTAAAGGACACCTGATCACCTGATAGTTAAGGGTATAAGCTTATAATTGGCAAAAGAGATAACTGCTGTTTGACAACTGTTTGGTATTTTAATAGTGAAATCTTGGACCAAATAATAGTGTCTAAATAATACTAATAAAATGAGGCCTTGGATGGATATTTCTGAGCATGATTCAGGTGCCATGTGAAAAGGGGAAATTTCCTCAAACCCTTAGCTTTTGGTTAGTCTGTCAGTGCCCCAGGAAAGCTGAGACCCTTGTGCCCGACCAGTTTTCCTCCACTTCATTCCCCCTTAGCATGTGTTTAAGGTTGGAGATTGTGTGTGGGCGGAATCATCGTGGAATAGGTTTCATGGAACAGGGTTTTAGAAATGCTCATCGCATTCCGCTCGGGGAGTAGCAACTGTATTTAGCCCTATAATTTCTGCACCATTACAACTTCTGTCAGGATATGAGTATAACTTCCCAGTTTCCTCTAATTTTATCCCCAGCTGTCTTTCCACAGTCAGGGTACAGAATTTCTTTAACACCAATCTTTTGTCAGGCAGCTGTGATACTGATAATCAGTTTTCCTAAGTAGCAGGGACTCATAAAATAAAGAGCAAGATCACAGTTGAGGCCATGAAGGTAGAAGAACAGGATGGTGCCTGGCAGTCATAAGCATGGATGGCCATGTACAGGTTACTAAAGCAATCCAGCACTGAGAGCTGAATAGGAGCGGTTTTAGCAGACAACAGTGTAAATCTAACAGGAAAAAATCCCAGACAGGGTGAAAAGGCAAAGGAGATGGGGTAGGTAAGAAAGCAAGCTATACTCCCTACAAGAGCAAGCTATACTCACCTTCAGTGGACAAAGAGGACTACTTTTTTTTATTTGTTATACACCAAATGTATCAAAGCTGGCAACTTCCAGCAATTCCTTCTTCAAATCAGCTGTCTTGATCAGTAAATTAGTGGGGTAAAGCAAATCTTACACTCCACAGAAGGGAGAAATAAGGAAAAAACATTATAGGACCAAGGGACTCTTCAGAAGAACTACCATGAATTTTAAGAACTGTCTTCCTCATCCCTGCAAAATGCACCAGCAGCTGTCTATTGTCCTTATCCTTCTGATAGATTGGGCAAAAAGTTTTCCTACAATGCTTAATTCATGTTCCTGTAGCCCAGTCTACAGGACTTTAAGTCATGAAAATGAGAGCAATCACACAGGAGGAAGAGTCAATGGCAACAGTGCTACAAGATCCTATGTTGATTCACCCAACTTCTCTTTTATCAGTATTAATATTATGCATTTAATAAAGTGACATCGTTCTGCTTCATTAGCAAAGCCATGACTGTGTGAACTCTGTTATACAGGAATGGCAGTAATTCTGAGTAACATTTCTAAGGCAGTTATTCCATTCAGTACTTAAATTAAAGGAGGAGCTCTGTGATTATGGTGCAGATGTAACAAAATGCACTTCATTTTAGTCTCAATCAATCCTCAATTAACAGAGGATGCAGCAGATAGGAAATAATTGTATTTACTACTTTGATTCTCTGTTTTATATTAATGCCATTATAATAATTCTATTACTGGGATAATTAATATTTTTAGTTAAAAATATATCAAATAAGCTGATGAAATTTAACCATAGAGCCTATTTATTGCTGACTGAAAGATATTGTGGAGCAACAGAACTAAAATATGCTTTTTTGAGTTAATTTTGTATAATTCAGAAAAGCCTTCAAAACCAGTTCAATGTTCATTAACTGAGAGTCTATATCTTGCGTCTGTAAATGACCATTTAGGAACTTTGTTCTATGAAAAGCCCACTACCTGCCTGGGCTATGTGCCTAGTGAAAATAGAAAAGAAATTTTCTTTTGTTAAATTCTGGAAGTAAGAAAGGATCAAATCAGAGCTGAGGAAATACGAAATTTGCACTGTACTATGACACATCAAACTATACAGTTCTGACCCGCCTTTCAGGACAGATACCTTCTGGATAACTAGCATAAAATTGCAGTCTCTGAAAACAGCACATTTTTCATAGTGAATATGAAATCTGTTATTAGCCAATAACAGATGTAACTATATCGACTTCTGAACAGAAATTCTCCCCTTAGATTTGTGGATGTTCTTTTGTTGGAATACAGAGTTTTGACAAGAGGAAACTGCTAGTCTTGACTTAAAGATCACTGATTTACCATAATCAAATTAGCATTTTACTCAATGTCTCAGTACAGTAACAAGCTCCCAATAAAAATATCTTCCAACACATACTGTAAACAACAACTCTGAGCACAATTTTTCTTTTTTCATACCAGAGGTTTATACAATTATCAGCTTAAGCTTTAATTGGATTTAACTAATTGGTAAACAGGATTTTTATTCATTAGTTTTATACACACATCAGTTCCTCATTTAAGGTTTAATTTAAATTCAATATAAGTAACTGGATGACTGAGATATACTAAAAAAAAAAAAAAAAAAGACGCAGCATTTTCTTCACTTTGGTATTTTTAAAGATGCTCATTATTAAATCTGATACCTTTTATATACATATATAATCATATTACATAAAATACACATTTCCAAGGGGTCATCCTATAAATTTTTGTATCGATGTGAAACAGAATGCAAGAGGACTTTAATTTAATGTTTATCAAGACTTACATATGGTCCATACAAATGGTCCATAGTGGAGAAAAGAAACATACCCATTTTAAAACATAGTTATATTTTAAAAATGAAGGTGTTAAAAACAAATAATTGTATTGTTATGATCTAGTCCAATGGTTTTACTAAAGAATATGGCGGAGTGTTTAAATACTGTAGCAACTTAAAAGAATAATTATGACTATGAGAAAATGACCATTCACAAGGAATCAGTTAATTTTCTGCTACAGAAGTACTGCTATTAGAGATATGGGATATTGAACCATGCACTGAGACCAAAAATTTCCATAAAACCCACAGCTAACACTACAGTGCTCTGGTATTATTTTAGAAGGCTTTTCAGGTTTGTCTTTACTGTATTTATAAAACAGAGTAGCAGAAAATAAAAGACGAAAGCATAGCTAACGCACTCTCTTTTATACATTCTAGAGCCTTCCTATGTGTTTTAGCAAGATTCTGGCTGTAATCACAGGCGTTCTGATTTTACCCCTCTCTGTGCCTTTTGTTAAAGCACACATGCATTAGCAGGAAAGATGTTTTGCTGTAATGGATTAACAGCAACATAAATTGTCCAACTGCTCCCACTCATCATTTTCCTTCAATGAAACAGTAGAGAGAAATAGTCACTTTCCAATAAATCTGTCTATAAGTGAACATGTTAAGAGAAGGTACTGATTTCATCCTACCATACATATCTATGTGCCATGAAAATAAATCTCATGTCAGTGACATAATGCTGGCAATTGCAAAAGAAAATATATAAATGAAAATAATGAAAAAAAGGAAAAAAATGTACACTTTAATATAAGAAAAAAGTTAATGTAAAGTGACAAGAGTTAAGATAAGAGAGATAAAATATATGCAGAGAAGGAAAGTTAACATAAATTTATAAAGTTAGAGACAATGAAGAAAAACACAGGAAAAAAAAACACTCAAAACATGCAGAAGACTTAATTTTCTGAATTATATCCAATAACTTTAGTAAATTTACACTGGTGTCCTACAAAAAGGAGCAGAGTTTTCATCCAACAGATGTCCAAATTTTTATGTTCAATCACATGTTCTCCTTTACAGGTGTCTCCCGCAAGTGAATTGGTGAGAAGGTAAACAGGAATTTGACTACTGTAAACTGTTTCTTCATTTAGTCCTTGCCTCTGTGCAATGACTTTGACTGTATGTTACTAGTGACTCAAAAGGTTTCAAAATGCTTTTCATAGTAATGAGAGATCTTTTAGACACCTACTCACTTAATTTACTGGGATATCAAGGGTGTGAGATAAAGGCTAGCACAGATGAACCTCAGATCTTTTTCATCTCTTTTTCTTAGGGCCCTATAACTAACTTGTCCTTCAGACAATTATTCCTAATCCTGAAGTACATAGAAATTAATTCTCAATGTTTTCTGATGGACTTCCCAGTTAAAGACCAATTAATCCCTGTAAATTCTTATGAATAATTAGACTCCTATTTGCAGGGTTTTTGATGATGAAGTCGTAGATTCTGCTCAGACCCAGCTGTCCTCAGCCTCACTCAGTTCTTTTAAAGAGATTTCCAATTGCACATGGTTTTAGCATTGTTTTAGCTTCCCCTGTTTTTATGTGACAGTCTTCTCCACAGGGCAGCCCTTGTAGGCAAGATACTTTACTATGGTCAAGACAGTCATAATGTTCAACTTTATCACTTGAAGATTAAGCAAATGAAAATTCTATGAGCTCATGTCATGTTCTCTTCTTGTGCAAGTCCACTGACAGTCATTTCACTGCCAATGAATCCCTGCTATAAGTAGCTGTTAGAACTACAGTTTAAATAGGAAAGGACACATTCTGTTTAACTGTTACTCTAGCTTAAATCCCAAGTAATCCCACTGAAGGCAGTGGATTTCCTTCTGGATTTAATTCATTCTAACTGAAAGCAGAATTTGGCCCTTTGATTCCTGCTGCCATTGCTCAATTGTTGGGAGATTTACTATATGGGGTATGCTCTGTACAACTAACACGCTGCAGCATAGTTGTTGATCTACTTACCAGAAGAGTAAGAGCTTTATATTTGACACAGCTGAAACTTCTGAGTAAAAATAGATTACAGGAAATTCCCAGCTCAGCTCTAATGCCAATTTTCAGGAAGCAAAAATACAGCTTTCCACCAAGCTAGACTAGTTGAAATGGAGGTAGTTTAGTGTACAATGCTTTATAATATACTGAATACTCTGTCTGAAGCACTCTAAATGGATAACATCATGATTTGATAGGAAACCTAAAAATTACTTTTTCTAATGGGAAAATGAGGAAAAAATCCAAGCACTGTTGGATACTGCACACTAGCAATTCATCATCAGAACTGACAGCAAACAGCCATTCTCACTGACTTCCACAGGTTTCCATAACACAAGAATTTAAAGGGGGATGAGAGGAGAAAGTACTTATCTAAAATTTTATTTTAAAAATGTGTTAAAAGTTGAAAAACTATTTGATAGGCTTTATGAATGACTAAATACTGGAAAAATGGGGAATTTATATGAATACATAGAACAAGACATAAAATATTATAACAGCAGAAAATCTTGATCATAGAAAGACTAGTGAAAATCTATAAAGAAAGGACAAGGAATTAACATAGTCTGGGTTTAAATTTTTTCTAGTCTACACTGTTTGCACTAAGTTTACATACGTGGGCCAGTTCTACTTCAAACATAGAAAATGGGGATTTATTTCAATTATACAATTTTCTTTGTACAATATTAAAATATTCTAGTTGGCAGAAAGGGAAATTACATTAAAAATATTAAATATGCTCTTGACTTTTCTTAACAAAAGCCACAGGAATTCACACATAATTCAGACACACTGGGAAAGATCTATTATGTTAAAATAGAAACCATCATATCACATCTACTTCTTCCTAACCTCTAGTTTGGATGCAGATCTCAGCAGAAAGAAAAATGAGAGAAATTCTCTAGTGAACTGTAAAATTTTAGATATTAAATGTGTGTGTGTATACCTCTGCACACATTTATATATTTATATATATACAAAATCTCCATCTGCTGTTTTGTATTTACTATTATACAAAATCACCACTTTGCTTCCTCAGCAGTATTTGTGCTCTTTAAAACCCTTACTCTGTTCTGAAGCTGTTTCATGTTTGTTTTCAAAGACTTCTTGTAAAATATTGGTGGGTCGTGAGAGGTTTTTTGACAGCAAAAATAAGAAACTACCTTTCCATTTGGGTTAGAACTGAGATGAAATGAGGAATGGCTGCCACCAAGCAGAAAATTTTCTCACTTTATGTGTGCCAGTTAATTACGACACTTCAGAGGCGCTTCTGAAAGGATAAGGCAAGCTGCATAAATTTAGCTGTAATCCAGGCAGGCAAAACTAATTTGCAGAGGATGGCCTTATCTAGCTGCTGCAGCTTTCTCAGAAAATTAACCTTGGATATTTGGGCCCAATTCAGAAAGTGTTTGATTTTTTTTTTTCCTTTCCTGCTCTGCATAAGAGAATTTAAAATTCAATACAATACCTGACTTTTAAGAGGCACTATGAATGCTGTAGGCAGTTCAGGGTTATTACTGACTAGCAAAAAAATATATTTATATACGTACATATATATGATTGTCCTTCATGCCCATTATCCTGCCTTCTTGCCTGTGCATCAGAGGGTTTATCACCATATGTATGGATCGGGGGGGGTCTTTGGATTAACAGAAGATGCAGCTCATTTTAATGTACTTAGAAAAATTCATCAAAGTTCATTGCAGAATAAGTCATGCATACTGACTTGTTCATTCCAGTGGAAATGAAGAAATCCCCATAAAAATAGAAGTTTAATGAAGTGTTGGAGTAGAGTCCTGCCTGTCATTCCAATTACGACTGATTTAGAGTTTTTTCTTGATACACCACTATTAATTGCTCTTACTCAGCACAATCAAAAGTTTACCTTAGATTTCACAATCTTCACCAGTTCATGGGTGAAAGATTCAGTTAATAAGTGTTGCCAAATCCACTTTAAAAGCTTCAGGCATAATACAAAGTATTAGAAGTGTTACTGGCTTCTTAGAATTTTGCAACGTACCTCACTGACTTTTATTTTACATAAATGAGTTTACAATATGATCCCCCTCTGTCCAGGCAATATTTACTGTAGGAAAAAATGAAAGCATAGCCCATATAGTATTTTGCTTACATAATTTAACTGGTTTAAAGACAGTGGATGTTTTGTGGGCAAGACAATTTGTGATATTTGTCTGGTCAAATCTGATCACCCAAAAACTTGTGTAAGATTATTTGGAATAAAAAATTTATTTCAATATTTGTAGGCAGAGGAATCTCACTTTCTCCTATAAGCAGAGAGGTAGATATCTCCTTTACAGACACTCGTTCCAGTCTAAGCTTCATGACTAAAATGAGGACCACAAAAAGGTAATAAATACTTTTTAGGTCACTACACTGACTCCTATCTTCACTGACGAGTTCTCTGAATTTAAGACGACCAAATTCACACTAAATTAAACTAACCTCTATTTAAAGTCCAATAACTCTTTTGATGTTCAGCACTATGTTAATTATGACAATCTTTTAAATGCATACTCTGTTGTCATTCTACTTTGATTAGGCCCTTGAAAATACATCTAGCTTTCAAAAGGATCTTTAGATTTTATGCACATAATTCTGAATATTCCTGTCCAATGCAGAAAATCACATGGCAATGCAACCTTTATTCCTCCTCTGAATTTTGCCAGGTTTTAACAACCAAGGGCTATTTATGATCAATGAAACACAAGCTAATTTAGCACTGCCCTTCTTCCCATTCAGCTTCAGTATGCCCCAAGATACCTCTTATTCTTACATTATGTCAGTACAATTTTATGTTAGTGTCAAGATAATGAGTAGCTGTCACTTGATCCTGATTTTGGCCTTCAAAGCAATAGTAAGATTTCATGTAGATATAAATGCCAAAATAAACATTCCATAATGAAAGATTTGTGCTTTCATTATTGAAATTGTCACTGTCATAATTACTTTTATATTACTGTTGATTTTTACCACTGCAAAAAATTTGCAATGTACAAGCTACTACCCATTCACGTAGCACAGTCCAACTGTTGCCCAGTACAGCTTGCGTTCAAAATGATATACATTACATGAAAGACAGAAAGGGGACAGTTAAATGTAGAGATAAGTACAGAATTTTTCTTAGGGAGTAAAAAAGAGGTTCAAATCTGAAAGTTCATCCTTCATCTACAGGTAAACATGAAAAGTAATAAAGCTGAAGTATGGAAAAAATGGTGCATAGAACTATCAACAGAGAGCATGAAATGAAAAATGGTCAAAGCATCTGACCAGCAAAGCACAACAAACTTTCTCCTTTGAAGACAGTTTTTGAAATTATATTATATTCTTAAAACAGAGATTAAATTGCTTCTGTTTCTAAACGTATTTCTCCTTTCTGAAGTTTTATGTGATGTTAGTCAATATATCTCCTGAATGTGCAGATGTTTCACCCAGAGCAAATAAAAAACAGGGCCAAGCTGCAAGAGACAAAAAGATACTGATACTCAGAATTTTCTTGATTCAATCTTTACCAGATACTCACAGAGTTAATGATTCAGTAAAATGCCCTAATT